CCACGAAGTCGGCTTCGTGAGGTTCCTCGTGTCTGTGATCCAAGTGCCTCCAGCTCGGAGTCTTCTAAGTCGCATGTACGCTGGGCACTTCGTCGATGTGTGTCCTGGGGGCCGAGACGCGCAGTGACGGTCCTCGCAGTACATCCAGAGCTTGTGGCGCACCTGTCGACCCTGGGCTTGCCCTTGTTACCACCGCCAGCGACGCGCTGGCGCTGCCGCCCTCCGCGCTGTCTCCGATGTCTCCGCCTTGTCGGTTTTCGAGTTTTCTTCAAATGTGTTCCGTGCGCTTATGTTGCGTACGCGCAACTTAGAGAGGAGGGTGATGTAATGGGCCCAGCTCCAATTACATAAGTAGGTAGATATTTCTTTAGTTACTACATAAGTAGGTAAAGTGGCACACGGGTAGCGTGTGCAAGGGTGTCATCATCTGATTGGTTGATAGTAAGGAGCCAGACTCACTTATTGACCAATCAGATATAGACAGCGCGTTTGAGGGGTTCACACGAGGCCAGGGGTAGCCGCCCTGGTCCTAAATAAATCAGAGTTGAATTTGACACAAACCTAAGACTTGGTTTATTATTGCGAGCTTCCTCCGCACTATAGTGTAAGCTAGTAACGGTATCTCTTACCCCGTTACAATCTCCGTAGTCTGGGCAATTGCGATATCCAGCAGCGAATTCTAGGCTAATCGAATCAGACCAACCGAGCGAGCTCCAATTTTGAGCTTGTTGGGGCACATTGGTGGCCACAACAATATTCTCAGTTGCAGCGACGGTACGTGGAGTTTCCACTGGTACATGTCGGTAAGCTTGAGTTAAGGTCGGAACAGGGCGCGTGTAGTAACCAGCAGCAACATCCTCCCCACGAAATTGAGGGCGAGAGGGTGGTCGAACCAAATGTTGGTTAAGACTGCGGTAGTCGGTAATAACGCGCCGATTCGTCAGGTTTCGAGCTGCACGGGTGTGGCAGTGCGTGGTACACTGATGAAACGAAACCGTATTGATCGCATGCTCCGAAGATTGACGCGACAAGGCATCGGCAACCACATTGAGGTGTCCCTTAACGTGATGCAACTTGAACGTAAACTGTGCGAAAAACGTCAAATAGCGAGCTAATTTCGCTGAAACCTTCGGGTGGTGCAAAAACCACTTGCAAGCAGTGTTGTCCGTGTAGATATCAAATTCACGACCATATAGGTAGTGACGCCACTTGTCTAACGCTAATTTAATAGCGAAGAGTTCTTTCTCATGTGTTGGCCAATTAATCTCGTGAGAACCAAGTTTCTTCGAGAAGAAGGCTATCAAATGATCTTGACCGGAACGAACTTGAGATATAACGCCACCAACACAGTAGCCAGAGGCATCTGTTGTCACGATGAAACGTTTCTCGTAATCCGGTAACTGCAACACGGGTGCTTCTTGAAGAGCGGATTTGATTTCCTCAAACGAACGCGTCTGTTCTGGACCCCAGCTCCAGACATGTTCTTTCTTGACAAGAGAACCAAGAGGCAACGCAATAATGGCGTAGTCCCGGATAAAGCGACGGTAATAACCTGCGAGACCCAAAAAGCTTTGTAGTTGCTTTTGGTTTAGTGGCGTAGGCCACTTTGCAATCGCTTCAGTCTTGCGAGTATCAACAGCAAGTCCTTTGGCAGAAATCGTATGGCCGAGAAACTTAACTTCGGACTGACCAAAGTGACACTTCGAGAGATGACAGAACAAATTCTCACGACGTAGAACCTCGAAGAGAGTTTGAAGATGCTCAACATGCTCTTCCAGACTGGTGGAAAAGACACAAATGTCATCCAAGTAGACAACAATGAATCAGTACTTCGCAAAGAGTACCCTCATGAGGCGAGACCAAACACCAGGCATACCGGCCAATCCCAAAGGAGCTACACACCACTGGTAAGTTTCAGCGTGCGTGCGAAAGGCGGTATACTTGCGACTCTTGAGCGCGATACGCATCTGGTGATATCCTTGAGCCAAATCTAGAACTGAAAAGATGACACAACCAGACATATGGTCGAAGAGTTCGTCGATGCGAGGCAGTGGAAGCTTTGGAACAATCGACTGCGAGTTCACATAGCGATAGTCAATGACCCAACGGATAGGCAAAGTCGAGTTTCCAGAGCGCACCCACTCAGAGCGAGACAGCTGATGTCCAGAAGTAGGATCTTTCTTTGGAATCCTAAAGATGTTGGACACCCAAGGAGAATCAGAAACTTCGATCCATTCTTTCTTCAGCTTCTCTGCAACGAAGAGATCCAGTGCATCCTGCTCAACCTTAGACAGGGGGAACGGAGCACGGCTACTTGGAACAGCATCAGGGTTCATATGGAGTTCGAAATCCACACGACGTGAAGGCGGTAAACCATCCGGTAAAGTTTCCGGAAAGACGTCAGTAAAACGCTTCAATAAGTGAGTGATCTAACAGGAGTCGACTCACTAACTGGCGTGACCGCACAAATGTTGACACGGTACACTTCCTTGTACACATGTTTCTTCACGCTACGTTTAAAATCAACAGCAGCAATCTCCACAGCTGCTTGACGAGCAACCGTTGATGGAGGTGCACAAGACACACTTGGAAACAAAATCTCATGCGAACGACAATTGATACATGGCTGAAACTTGGTAAACCAAGGTTTTCCCAAGATGACATCATGGGCAGATCCAAGTGACCATTCCATGACTTGAAGTTTGTGGAAACGGTAGCGACCGAATTCAATAGTCGCTTGACCTTTCTTCACAGAACGCGCTTTCGTAGAAGTTCCATCGAGCCGAGTGACTTGTGAGACACCAGACGTAGCGGTGTTAGCGACTAAACCTGGGCGAACAACATTGCACGTAGCACCACTGTCGAGCATGATGACGACAGGTTTCCCATCACAAGTCCCTTGTTTACGAATGAGCTCGTTCTCACGGTGCATGGACGACAAGGTGGACGCGAAAATCTCTTCCACTTCAACAACCTCAACCTCGTCATCGGAACGGGTCATAGACGCTCATTCAGCAGCAGCAGTAGTAGGAGAAGAAGAATTAAAGTTCGCGGCAGATTGCTCGTGACGGTTCTTTCGAGCATACTTCTCCTTGTTCTTCAACTTGAAGCACTGCTCAATGACATGACCAAACTTCTTGCAGTAACGACATCGCTTGTTAGACGACGAAGAAGAAGCAGAACGACGATTTCTAGTACTCCCTGAGTCAATTTCCATTGGCTCGGGTTCGTTCTCCTGAACACGCATAGGCGTGGCTTGCTTTTGGTGCGAATTGTTGTTGGACTGAGAGCGTGATCGGTCCTGCGAAAAGAACGGTGGACGATAGTTCTTACCGTGGACATGATGCGATCGATCATACTCCAAAGCAATCTTCATTGCATGCGACACTGTTGTACAGCGACGATATTGCACCTCTTCGCGCGTAGGACTGACAAGTCCACGTGTGAAGTAAGTGATCTTGTCCAACTCACTCATGTCTGTCACTTGCATGATGGCTTCACAGAAGCGAGAGATGTAATCTTCCAAGCTAGAGCAAAATTTCTGCTTGAGCGCGTACAATTGATCACGCAAACGCTCTTGCAAATCCGGAGGCACAAATTCATCGGTCAACCGGGCCACAAGGTCCTGCATGTCCTTGATATCACGCTTGTTCAGCTTGTACCAAGCGGCAGCATTTCCTTTAAAGTTCGCAGTAGTAATGGCCAAAATTCGAGAACTTTGGTTGTCGTTTTGCCAATCGATGTTTTTGGCATCAAAGTACTGAGCAAGTTGCTCGAAGTACAAATCAACAGATTCTTCCATCGTGCCATGAAATTCAGGCAGACGGATACCTTCCACTTTCACTTCACGCTTACTCATGGCTTCAAGCAGTTGTTGCTGCTTGTCAACCATTTCGATGAGTTTCTGCGTGATAGCGTCAGTAGACCATCCTTGAGGATTCAAGGAAGTCATGGTTGATTGTCGAAAAATTCAGCGATGAAGTGCCGAAAAGGTAGTCGGGTACAGGTGGACAGCGACGAGGGGTGCAGGTACTGAATTGATCCGGTTCTTATAGACCAGACACTTACAGTACACACGCAATCAACGATAACGCTGATGAAGGATACGACGTTAGGTACGGGTACTAACTTGATCCGGTTCTTATAGACCAGACGCTTAGTGCAGTACACACGCAAAAATTCAACACGGCAAGCCGTATGAAATGAGGTCGCAACGAAGAAATCCGACGAATGTGGAGGCGAAGAACGACGACACACGCTCAACGAGCGGCTTTCCACGTGTCGCGTAGCGAATAGAGAATGAAGAACCCCCTCCCGGACGAAAAACAGCAAGTGCTACCAGATGTGACGACTGGTGGGAGCACGGCGCAGAGGAACAGCGACGAGGAACGAGTCGCGTGGCGAGGAGCGAAGCGGAGGAGGGCGGCGAGAGTCCAACGAAGGGGACTCGAAGGTAAGGCGTAGGAGGCAGTTGATGTGCCTCGAAGAAGGTAAACTGGAAAGTGAGATTGAAATGGTTAGTTGTTTGTCGGCTACGAAGAAGTGCTAGATAGCATTCCCTTGGTATCCTATGTAAGTATATGCATTTCACTATACTAGATTCTAAGTAGTCCTTGAGTCGAATCTTGAAGTAGCGTAGCGTAGTAGTGAACCGCGGTTCATTTGAACCGGGTCAGAATCCCCATAGTGAATTCAAATGAAAAAGAATGACTGTCATTGAAGTTCCATGTTTGGCAATACTCGTCCAAACATGGTGATTGCAGGCGTGTGTCTGCCTGGCCGCTCATTGGCAGCTTAAGAAGACAGTTGGAAGTCAGCAAAGACAAGTATGAAAGAAAATAGAAGAAAGTAGGACGCATTGGTACCAACATCATGGCCATCGCTGGCTGTGACGTTGGTGCGTCGTTACACCGTGCCCCGCACTCAACACATTGGCCAACCACGCTTACCTGCCGCGCAACGGCCAGAACGTCACCAAGGCTGTACTGGGCCCCGCGGTCATGTCTGTCTACAGCTTGGGCGAGGACGCCACTGCCACATTGCTGGCGCTCGTGCCCGATTCCTTTTCGCTCGACTTCCTGTCCACGCACAGCTTTGATCGAGCACGATGCGTCGCTCATCCACAACGACGTGTACTTCGGCGGCGAGCCGGCCCGAGTGAACCTCACGCTGGCAGAGGAGTTGCTCAAACGCGGAACATTGAGCGGCACGATCGGTGTTACGGAGCTTGGAGCTGCACGTAAGGCACGTCTTGCAGACAGCCTCGCTATCAACTCGAGCGTGACATTCGGTTCTACCCAGCAAACGCTGTCGTTCCTCGAGGCGTCGATCTTGGTACTTGGATTTGGCTCCAAGAACAACGAGACCGTCTCGGTCGACACGGCTCGTTCATTCCTCGTCGACGAGAAGATCCCGAACGGATGGGAGCGCGCCACAAGTGCCATTAGCGCCGCCGACGCGCGTGCTACTGCCGCTAAGATCGCTTTTGCCTCCGCTTAGAATTATAAATATGGTAGTAAGAACCATTAGCGATTTAATCGGGAGCGAATACCGTGCTGTCAGTAAAAAAGGAGAAACCCGACGGAGATGGAAGCCCGAAGGAGCTATTCAGACTCGGTCAGATGTCTTTGGCAGTATTTGTCGCAACCCTAGCAATATCAATAAACAAGTTATTAACTAACTGAAAAACAAGAACAATGGTTTTACGAGTACTACGGTGAACCGACGATAAAGAGCAAAAAATTGGACCAAAAGCTAGCGCCTTGGCTTGGTAGCAATTTCATCTTTACACGGTCTTCATTCCATGGACAAAAGCCTAGTACGCCTTCTATCAGGGGTATACTCATCATGATGTCCACAGTTATCCAACAGGGCGAGATTGGACACTGACGTGTGCACTGACAACAAATTATTTATGTGTGTTGTTTAATTCTAAGCATTCATCAATACCGGTAAGCCGCAGGTTTTGCACTGTGTCAGCACATGTATTACCGGTATACCGCACTTCAGTAAATTCGGGTCCTGGTTTATCGTGTAGCCAGGGTACACTTGGGATTACGTACCCCGTTGCAATTTAACCTCAGCACTTGGAATGCCAAATTTACTAAAGTGCAGTATACCGGTAATACATGTGCTGACACAGTGCAAAAACTGCGGCTTGCCGGTATTGATGTACAGGATAATTGTCCTACCGGTAGAATCGAGGACAACACACAGAAATTATTTGCTATTAGTGACATTTAATCTCGCCCTGTTGGATGACGGTAGACATCGCAATGAGAATACCCCGGATAAAAGCCGTAAATGGCTTTATGTTCACGGAATGAAGACCGTGTAAAGATGTAATTTACTACCAAGCCAAGGCGCTAGCTTTTGGTCCTATTTTTTGTCCTTTCATGTCAAGGTGTTGGGGTTAAATACCGAAAATGCGCCTTTGTAAGGGATGCCTGCCAAAATCTACATAAAACGGTTTAAGCAGATATTTCTAATGACGGTTTTGAGGCCCCAAACTCTCCTATAAGAAGCAACAATAGTTTCGGTTTAGAAAAACGGCAACCAAACAATTTTTTTTTGTTCTAAGTGGTTGTGTAGCGGGGTACGTAGCCCTAAGTGTACCCTGGTTACATGAAGTGTGACACTTCACACTTCAGGAGTATGACACGTCTACTCCGGGATATTTGGTACATAGTACCAAGGTCGTTCAAAGCCAACCATTGGTCAGCGACATTGCATTTCTATAGGTGACTTATAGTTTGTATTAAACCCAAACTTAATCTACCTATAAATATACTCAGTTTACAATCTACCTTATTTAGGTCACTTCTCTCTCTTTTGAATAAAGAGGGGACCTGTGAACTGCCGTTCACTGAGAGTTTGTATACTCTCGGAAGATAACTTCCTCCAGCGCAAGGTGCTGTGTGACCCCCTCACACTTGGTAGCACTCGTAGTCGATCCACGCCACCGCGGGTAGACTACCTGAACCTCTCCGAAGTTCGTTGCCATGGATAGGAACGACTTCTCCCATATGAACGACTCTCAGTTCGAGTCGGTTCGGAAGATGGCAGGCATCTTCGGGATGGAGGCCCTGCAGAGCCTGGTGGTGTCAACACCGGCTGAGCAGCTCGAGCGCGTCAATGCGTTCGACGCGTACGAGCAGGGCCTCATTGCACATGTGCGGGAGAACTTGCAGGCTCCGGCAGCGGAAGCAAATCCGCCTCACCCGAAGCCAATACGGCTGAAGGTTAAGCCGTATGAAGGGAAGGAAGGCGAGAACCTTCACTTCTGGGTCCGAGAAGTAGAGCTCGCGATGGACGCGGCTCTGATCTCGATCGAGCAACTGCGTGTTGCTTTTGCACTCTCCAACCTTAGCGGCCGTGCTAAGAGTTGGGTGTACACACGGGAAGCAACATCCCCTGGATGTTTCACATCCTGGACTCAGCTGTGTGAACAGCTCCGAGCCGCGTTCCTCCCGGCGAACTACGAGTACCGCCAGCGTTCGCGCTTCCTCTCGTGTAAACAAGGGAGGCGCGAACTGCACGAGTATGTGCAGGAGATATGGGAGCTCACGGCGTCCCTAGTGGGAAACCCACTCAACGAACACATCAAGATGACTGTGTTAATGGACGGCCTTCGAGTGGGCCCCGCACGCACTCAGCTGTTCCGGGTGCAGTCAAGCACCCTTGAAGAGGCGATTCAAGTGGCTCTTCAGAAGAGTACAGCCATCGCCAGGCGCGTACGCCGGCCTCAGCATGGCCTGGGAGTTCCTTGTCGGCTCCCGGTCGCACAAGTCCCAACGGACCAGTTCCCATGGAGCTCGGGTCCGCCGAACAGCGTGACATCCGCTGCTTCGGCTGTGGAAAGATGGGCCACTTCAAGCGCGACTGTCCCGCGGAAAGACTCCGCAGACGGTCCTTCCCCAAGCCCGTCCTCAAGGGTCGCTGGCAGAAGCCAGGATCCCGGGGACAGGGGAACGCCGGGAACCAGTAGGGGCGGGGCGCCCTACTGGGGAAGAACTAAGTCTTCGTGATGGGTGCGCGGGTGGCGCGTACCACGAAGACTTTGCCCCTGAGAGTCTTCGCACTCTCGAATCGGCGAAGAGCAGCGGCGGGTTCGTAGTACACGGATGTGTACGGGGATACGTTCATCCCTTTAGAATCCTGATTGATTCTGGGGCGTCGAAGAATTTCGCACGCCGCCAGACGGTTGCTCGCAACAGCAACAAGTTGTCCGATGCTTTGAGAGAAAGCAAGGGCAACGGGACGGTGTCAGTGCGACTGGCCGACGGAAAGGTCGTCACTGTCCCCAACGTCCAAGTGGATCTAGCCGTCAAGTTTGAAGACTTTGACAGCCTCGAACAGCTCACTGTTCTCGATATGGATCCATATGATATGATCCTGGGCATGCCCTGGCTTGAGAAGCACGAGACCTGGATCGACTGGCGAGGCAAGGCAATCGGTGCCAGCCGCCCTGCGCAGTCCGACAGAGCATTGGTGAGTCATGTTGTCACCTCTGTCAGGACCCGGGGCGCCCGCAAGGGCTGCCAGGGTACCGAAGCATCCGGCAGATGCTTGGGAGTCGTCGACGTATATGACGACTCCGAGGATATTTTGATGGTGGCAGCGCCCAGAAGAGGCGCTGACCAAGTGGGTAACTTAGGTCCACAGGCGGGTAACTTAGCTCCGCAGACAGCTGCAGCTGTCACGAACACTGAGAACAGCGTGTTCAGAGTGGGTAACAGAGTTCCACTCACGGTCGCCCAGACCTTAACTGAAGAGGAAGACGTCGGATACGCTTCCTGTGCGGGTAACACAGTGCCACACGCGGTCGCCCAGACCTTAACTGAAGAGGAAGGCGTCGAACACGCTTCCTGTGTGGGTACCACGGTACCACACGAGGCCACGAGTGCCTCGGATGTCGTAGCGCCGACATCCCTAGACGTGGGCAGCAAAGCTCCACGTCACGGTCGCCGTCGTCAACGACGCCGCCGCCGCCTCAAGTCGGATCCGAACTTCGTTCCGATCGACGTCGCTTCAAGCGACCCAGAGCTCAGGGCCCGGGCTCCTCCGACAAGGTCGGTGGAAGAGTGTTCTCACATCTTCGATGGCGAGACCGGTTTACCCGTCAAGGCATCTGGTGTCCACTTGGAACCGTTGCCAGAGGTTGCAGAGATGCTGAACCTCGAGTAAATGACGGCTGAGGCTTTCCTGACCAACCTCGAGGCTGGAGAGATTGCTGAGATGGTACTCATGAGACTTGAGACCACTCGGGAGGAGCTGAACTCCTCCTCTGTCTTGGACGAGAACGTCCTGGATGACCTGAACAAGCAGCGTCAGACGCGCTTGGGTTCTGAGACCCTTAAGAACCCCAAGGATCCGGTGTATCCTTTGGTGACGGAGTATGCGGACGTGGTGAACAAACACCCACCGACCCAACTCCCACCGGATCGAGACGGCACGAGATTGATCTCGTGCCCGGCACAAAGTATTGTGTCACGAGGCAATGGCCTCTCCCGCGCGAACAGTGCGAGGTCATTGATGCCTTCTTCGCCGCGAAAGCGAAGGCAGGCATGGTGCGGGAGTCGAAATCTCCGCACTCGACGCCGACTTTCTGCGTTCGGAAGCCGAACGGAAAGTGGCGTCTGGTTTACGCTTATAACAAGCTGAACAACGCAACGGTGCCGGCCCAAACACCAATCCCACGAAAGGAAGTGTTGTTGAACAACATGGCCGGGAGCGTACTGTACAGCGCGCTGGATTTGGTAGACGGATACTACCAGATCCTGATGCGAGAGAGTGACATCCCGCTCACCGTGGTAAGCACTCCAAGCGGCATGCTTTGGGAGTGGCTCGTCATGCCGCAGGGCTTGTCTAACGCCCCGGCGACGTTCAATCGCCTGGTGACGCAACTGTTCCGCCCTTTGCGTACCTTCGTACAGACGTACTTCGACGACATATTCGTCCATAGCCGTGCCGGGGGAGGCAAGACGGCCATGGAGGTGCATCTAGGACACCTCCGTCGAGTGCTGGACGTTATGCGAGCGAACAAGCTCTACGCCAACATCGACAAGTGCATTATCGCGTCACTAGAGATTAAAGTTCTCGGCTGCTTCGTAAGCAACGTGGGCGTTCGGGCTGACTGAGACAAGGTCAAGGCCATTGCACCATGGCAGCGCCCCGATCATAGAAGGATTTTCGAAAGTGGTTGGGCTTGGCAACTACCTTCACAAGTACAGCGCAGGGTACGCGGGCTTCGCTAAGCCCTTGTCGAGCCTCCTTCAGAAGGACGTCGACTGGCGCTGGGAGCAAGAGCACCAGGATGCTTTTGACAGCATCGAGGCCAGTCTCCAAGAGGCCCCTGTCCTGGCCCTGCCGGACGAGACGAAGCCGTTTAGCGTCGTCTGCGATGCCTCCGATTACGCCATCGGATGTGCATTGCTGCAGGGCGACACGGCTGGACAGGAGCGAGCCATCTCGTTCCAGTCTAGGTAGCTCAAAGCCGC